CCCAGCATCTTTGAGGAGATCCAAGAAGGCATGGAACTTCTGGAAAGAATTCTCAATGCTGCCCAAAACACCTTCATCATCCAGGATCATGTTTGTCATTGACTGTGCATGAAGAGCTTCAGACAAAGAGAAGTTTAGGTTTCTTAACTGGGCATTTTCTTGTTCTAGCTACAAAAGAAGGATGAAAATGAGGTCATTTTTTCTGATAGCTATGTAAAGAAAATAATTTTTTTCCCATAATTTTATTGAGAAACAAATAGCAATGAGACAGTTTCAAACCAAATTGGTAGAACAGTTTCAATAATTAACACATTGCATAGATTCTTCCTAGTGGTAAATTGCTGTACAAGATGCGGACATGATACCCTATTTACAAACACCATTAGAACAAATCCTTCTATTCATTAAGAGAATGTAACTATATATCAATCCTAACCACTTTGAATACACAAGAAAATAATTTTTAAGTAACAAAAATAAAATGTTTTTAAAACTGTGATTCACTTATAATTAATCTAACTGTACCATTAAAGACAATAAGCATATTACCTAACAATCAAAACGGGAAGACAACTGCCAAAACTTCCTGCACATCAAATTCACTGTTTCATTAATGAGCTTTCAAAAAGATCCTATTTCTAACTGGTTAAATTCAGATCATTTTATGTAAAAAATTAGCTGTCCATGGGTCTTCTTAAATTAGAAAATGAAATAGTCTGATTTGAGCAAAGTATATTTCACTTCTGCTAAATATGAAGGACTTTTTATAGCAAGGATAATTTTTAATGTGTACATTTGAAAGTCTAAAACATTTAACTTATTAACTGCACAACTACCAATATTCCCTCTTCCTTGACTTCCTGAAAATATCTACTACCCCACACACTCCTCTTTCTCATCATGTCTTATCTAAAACCACAGGAAAGCTCAATGCTAGTATTTCTCAGAAAGGTCGTTTCATTCCCAATGCACGTTTTTGCTTTCTACAAGCAGATGCTCAGAATTTACTGCATCAGTCTTTCAACCAAATGCACATACTGTCAAGAATTCTTCCTGAATTTCTTTGCAATAATACATGACATTCACTCAGCACCATCTAGCATTCATGCCCATTAGCCTAATTTAGTAAGAGTACAGATTTTTGTTTTCCATTGCATTTATTCACTTTGCTCATTCACTGACAGCAGACAGACTCATCACCACACTTTGTTACTGTATGTACAGGAAAGCCTAATATATTTCATGAACAGAAATAAGGTGTAGTCATATAAAAACCTGGTTGGGTGGGGTATTACATTTTTGAAAAGACATGCTTCTTGGAACATAATTAGATGAATAAGTAAATACAAAGGGTAGCAGTGTAACCAATTGGTAACACATTGTATTTTCTTACTTCAAAGTTTATGAAGTGTGTGCAGCTTAAAATCAAATTCAAACAAAACAATTCTCAAAATATGACTTTTACTCACCTCACTGACTCGTTTATCAGCCTTAAGCCTTATTACTCTTTCGTCCTTTAACTGCTTTAAGCACTCGTCCAGTTTTTCCTAGTATTGAGAAACAAAAAATATTATACCTAATTCACACTATGACTCCTGAAATTTAGTTTCAGGTATAGATTCTACCACGTATCTAGGGGTGGAGCCAGAAGTAAGCTTTTGAGATTATATGTATTCTACTTACTGCATCATACCATGCTAGTGAAAGTAATTACCAAAACGTATCAAATGAGCACATTACATTCATTTAAATCCTACTCTTCAGAATAGATCTGCAGCAGCTCATTATAAAAAGGCAGTAAACAGAATGCAGTTAGTGAATAAGCAATAAAAAAATGAGATTGTGACAGGAAAACTATTACTTGTAGGGGCCCTCATAGAAGTAAACTCTTTAAACATGCTTAACATAACTGCATTTTTAAAAAGGAAAAACTTTAAGCTGGACATGCTGGTGCACACCTGTAATCTCAGCATTCAAGAGGCCAAGAAAGAAGAACATGAATTTGAGATGAGTCCGGGCTGTGTATTAAGTTCAAGGTGGTATGGACTACACAGATCCCCCCACCAGACACACATGCATGAACTTTCAAAGCACTTTATTATATGCCACTCATTGTTCTAAGAGCTTTCTAGTTCATAATATAATTTCATCATCAAAAACCTATAAAAGGGCTGGGGAAATAGCTCAGTAGAATAAGCGTTTGCCTGGCAAGCACAGGGTCCTCAGTTTAATCCCTGGTACTGGAAAAACAAAAACAAACAAACAAAAAAACCAACCATCTTTGTAGGGGTTACTGGGCCTTAAACTCACAGCTCTTCACAGAGTTATAGTCCCCTCTTGTAAATCTTCAGCAGAGTCTTGCTAAGTTGCCAAGATTATAGACTAGAATGGGAAGCCTCCTGCTACAGCCTCCCAGAGTTCTGCGATTACAGGCATGAGCTCCACACCCAGCCTTCAGATTATTTAGTGTTAAGGCAAACCAAGTTTTTAATAGTAAAAATAAGAAATTGCGAAGTTATTGTATTATTCCCATAACAGCATTAATATTTAGAACTGATATCACAGAAATTTTATTTTTATTTTTTTTATTAATTAATTTATTTTTTGTGTGTGGCCAGCTCAGCCCACCAGGGGGCGGGGCGGGCTGGCATGTGGTGCTGGGGGATTGAACCGCGGTCCCTGTGCTTTGCTAAGCTTGTTCTAAGTAGGTGCTTTAGACCACTGAGCCATCTCACCAGCCCCTATCACAGAAATTTTAAACAATGATGAAAAAGGAAGTGGTCCAGGGATATAGCTCAGCAGCACAGTGCCTGCTTAGCAAGAACAAGGTCATGAGTTTAACACTCTGCCAGCCCAAAGAGCCTCAGCACAATTGCAGAAAGACTAAACTCCACTGCTGACTGGTTCTAAACAAGACCTCAAAGTTAAATTACATGAAATAGTTTCTCCCTCTAGTGGAAAGAGTTAGAACATAACAATACTTTTCTTTCCCCAGTATTCGCTCCTTAGAGGAAATAAGTAAACACAGAAGCACACAATCATAAGTAATGTCACTCAGTAAACACTACAATCATGACAAAGTTTTAGAGCGACTGATTCTTGCATTTGTTCCCCACTGCCAAGGTGCTTGCACGTCCCCCAGAATACAGCATCTATCATTTGTGTATCAATTCATTTCCATTTTTTGGATTTAACATTGTACTGTTCATATTTCATATGATCAGAAAGAGGGCTTTTGTAACACTGACCTGCAAGTGGTTACAAACATTCCATTGGGTGGTTTACTGGTTCATTTAGTTATTCCTTTATAGCTAAACATACAGATTGTTTCCAACTTTTCAATAACGCAAGATAAAAATCACTTTTATGCAATAGGGTCCTCTCCTTCATCTGCACAATAAGTTTCTTGGAATAAACTAAGAAAAAAAGAAGCCAGAGATAGCTCAGTGGCATAAGCACCTGCCTAGCAAGCATGAGGTTCTGAGTTTGAGCCCCAATACAAATAAAAAAAGAAAGTAAGTTTAAGGCAAAGTAAATGAACAATTTTAAGGCTCTGAGAGATATCCAAGCTGTTTTCCAAAACTTTTCGGAGATTTTATACTGCTACCTGCATTGGGGCCCATTACCTCCACCACCACTGTTGACTTGCCTGCCCAGTAGAGGGGAGGGCAGGAAGAGTGTACTTGGCTAAGCATGTGTCTCTAGCACCTCTTGTGCCTACCACAAAGCAGACAGGCAATACAAAGCTGGGTGTGGCAGTGCACACTTACAACCTCAGCACTCAGGAAGCTGAGGCAGAGAACTGTTGTGATTCTGAGGACAGCCGAGGCTACACAGTGAGTTCAAGGACAGCCTAAACTACATGGTGACACCCCGACTCAAAAAAAATCAAAACACGTTACTACCAATGCAAGATGTGCCAAGTGTTTTTCTCTAATTGAATATGTGGAAGCTTGCATTCTTCTTTGAATCTACACTTATCTGTTGACTAATTCAGTTTTTTTCTTAGATTATATGTTTTAAACACTCAAGATTCTCTATAGAGCAAAGTCCTCACCCTATCAATTAGCTATAAATCATAAGGAAATGGAATAACTGTAAGCCTTTATTTCCTCATAAAAAAGGGGAAATAAATTCACACATAGGGTTCTTTTTTTTTTTGGTTCCTCGAATGCCTTCAGGGCACTTTTGGCCAGCGGGAGAGTTGTGAGGTTCGAACTCCAGCAACATGAGGCTGACAGCTTTGCGGAGCAGCCACTTAAAGGACTGAGCTAGAGCCAGGCCCCCCACATAGGGTTCTTTTAAAGATAAATGAATTTAACACACACAAAACCTAGATAACGTCCTAGTTTATACACAGAGTATGTTCAATGTGAAGTGACCGAACACAGGAATGTAAGCAGAAGAGAAGCGCTTAGAAGCAAAGCTGTCTCTTCCCAGCTTACACATCAGCTTCCTAAGCAGTAACCACTTCTCTCAAGCAAAGATTTTAACTGTACAATGATACACATGCTGAAAAGTACACAGAATGAAACTGCTGAGGAATATTCGTGCAACTACCACCCAGGTAGCGAGTGTACCCTCCAGCATCTCTGAAATCTCCTTCTCTCTCCCCATCACCAGCTCCTCTTTCTTTCAGATACCCTCCTTAATTTCTTGATGATCTTCTCCTTTATCTGGAATGCATTCCTAACAAGTTTGGTTTTGTCTACTAATTTTATGTAAAGAGGATCATAATACACATAATCTCTTGTATCATCTTCTTAAAGTAATTCTTTTTTTTTTTTTTTTTTGTAGTTTTGAGAGTCCTGTTGTGCAGTTCAGACTGGCTTTGTTTTTTTTGGCAGAACTGGGGATTGAACTCAGATCCTTGCATTTGCCGGTCAAGTGCTTATCCTACTGAGCCATCTCCCCGGCCCCTCAGACTGGCTTTGAACTCACAATAATCCTCTTGCCTCAGCTTCCCAAATGCTGAGATACAGGTATGTGCCACCATGCCTGGCTCTACATAGTCAGTCATTTGAGTTGCTCACAGGTTGGGTCGTTAGAAATAATCAGAATCTTTATCTAGGTCCATCTCTGTATCTTGTTGAGCGGGTTTTTCCAGTGTACATGCCCCAGAGTAATGAGATAGATCAGTGGGCACTCACACATCTTTACTTGGTAGATGTTAATGCCTTTCCAAAGTTGTGCTGATTCACATTCCATATAAACCTTATGCAAAACTCTTATCCAACATCAGCTACTAACACTTTGCTGCAATATGATAGGAGTGCAGTGGCATTTCTCATTTATTTTGAGTAACTGTATTCCATGTTTATCAGCTACTTGGATTTCTTTTTTGTGTGAATATACAATAAATCCTGTGTGTGTGTTTGTGGTAATGGCGCCAGAACCCAGGATCTGGCAAGTGCTAGGTAAGCACTCTCACACTGACTGCACTAGACCCAATCCTGTTTGCTTTCTTTTATTGAGGCAGGGTCTTGCTGAGCAGCCAAGACTGCCCCTGAGCTTGTGATTCTCCTCCCATGGCTGGCCTCCCAAATAGCACAGATCACAGGACATATCACATCTTGCTCCTAATTTACTTTGTTTTTTTTTTAAATTAATTAATTAATTTATTTATTTATGTGTGTGTGTGGCCAGCTCAGCCCACCAGGGGGCGGGGCTGGCTGGCATGTGGTGCTGGGGGATTGAACCGCGGTCCCTGTGCTTTGCTAAGCTTGTTCTAAGTCGGTGCTTTAGACCACTGAGCCATCTCACCAGACCCAAGGTTTTTTTTTTTTTTCCTCGAATGACTTTAGGGCACTTTTGGCCAGCTGGAGAGGTGTGAGGTTCGAACTCCAGCAACCTGAGGCTGACAGCTTTGTGGAAGCAGCCACTTAAAGGCCTGAGCTACGGCCAGGCCCCCTCCTAATTTACTTTGGATACTACCAAAATTAATTATGGTGGGGGATGGTGGTTCACACTTATACTCCCAGTATTTGGAAGGCTGAACAGGATTGTAAATTCAGGGCCAGTCCAAAAGGGCATTCTATTCTATGCGCAGAGTCAAGTTCACGTTTTGCTTTCCTGGGGATTGAATCCAAGATCTTTGCACTGAGCTACAGCATTAGCTCTTTTCTGAGACAGGGTTTTGCTAAGCTGTCCAAGCTGGGCTTGAACTTGTGATCCTCCTGCCTCAGCCTCATGCTTACGTGTACCACCACACCTGGCTAGCTCTCTTCCTTTGTGAGAGACACGGCAGTTTGCACTCAAATCCTTGATCCAACTAAACTAAGTATAGTTTGGGCAAGCTCCCTTTCTTCCTTAGCTTCCTTTTCTGAAAAGTAGGAATAAAAACTAGGAATACTGGCACCTACTACATAAAGTTACTCTAAGAATTATAAGTAACAACAATTACTGAGTGTCAAATAAAAAGTTCACACAAGTTAATGATTATATGGAGGTTAACAATAAAATTTGCCAACCAAGACATTGTTCCCATTATTATGATTAAGTGAATATAGCAATGCTATCTCTATATGTATAAAACATGCCTCTTTCT